TTTTTTCATCTTTATTGTGGGAGAATTTGGCAAGCCATTGTTGATCCTCCTAATGTGGATGTGTTTGCTTGCCATGCACAACTCAAAGATCTAGGTAGCCACTATTCAACAGCACTGACAGATCAAGAACACACTTTGCCCTCCAGAATATTTTCTCCGCTTCTAGCAGCTCGTGGTTAATGGACTTTATGAGCAGAGATGCTCATATTTAAAACATTTTGCTTCTACTCTTCATTCAAACCCTTTTTCAATCCTTGCAACCAACATCCTGCTGTAGGTTGCAGGCTTAAGAATGTGTGGTAGAAAACTAAAACTGTAATTATTTTTTACTATTACGTAAATGGAGTGTCATCATCTATGGCCATTTCATGCCTAAGGAAAAGAACAAGATTAGGCTTAATTATATTCAGATTTCCAAAAATCATATAGGCTCTGCAGGTTTGAATACTGGTGATTCAGTAGACTCCTTCTTTCCCCGTGAGTCATAAAAAACATTGCCTTAGTGTGAGGATATTGCTGAACGCATCAGTCTTAGCACTGAATAAATACTCGAAGTATTCAGCACTTTGAGACTTCAAAAAATAACTAACCAACCTGGGAATGGATCTGCTTTCCTCAAGCTACTGCCCGTCCTGCATATCTTAAATGATCTTAATTGTCACTTCTTGTCCTTGGCTGACACACATATTTGCTGTTTGCTATTTGCTGATTGCTCTGCTTCGTCCGTGAGGAAGCTGCTCAAAATTACACTTAGAGACAAATTATGATGTTCATGTAGACCTCACTCCACACTCCATTCTAGGACTTGGACGCTGGCTGTAATTACTGAGTCGACTGAACAAGCCAAGCGCTTCAGAAACCTGTCATTAAGATCACCTGAAAACACAGCTGATGTTTTCATACAATAGCTACTTGAGTGTAGCTGTTAGATGTGTTACCAACTTTGTTCTGGACAAAAAAAAATAAAAGAAGAAATAAAAACACCTAACTGCCTAACTGAGAGGGACTCCTCCTCTTCCATCCAGTTTCTGCTGGTGTTTCAGTCACACCCTTAACGTTTCTAGCTGAGCAAGATGAACCTATGGAGGAACATATGCATTATACATGATTCAGCGCCAGCTTAACACGATGCAAATGGAGGGTGTCCTTGTTATGATGTGCTCTGCCCTTCCATCACTACGCTGGCCGTGCATGCTAGTTTGGGGCTTAGTTTTGTTAATGAAAAAATGTTTTCCCTGGAGAAGAGAAGGTTGAGAGGGGATCTGATTAATATACCTGAAGGGTGAATGTAGAGATGAAGGGGCCAATCTCTTCTCAGTGGTGGCCAGTGACAGGACAAAGGGCAATGGGTATAAGTTGAAATACAGAAACCTCCATCTCCATGTGAGGAAGAACTTCTTCACTGTGAGAGTGACAGAGCCCTGGAACAGGCTGCCCAGGGAGGCTGTGGAGTCTCCTTCTCTGGAGGTCTCCAAACCAGCCTGGATGCCGCCCTGTGCCCCGTGCTCTGGGTGTCCCTGCTAGAGCAAGGGGGTGGACTAGATGATCTCTAGAGGTCCCTTCCAACCCTAATGATTCTGTGATTCTTTGATAAACGTGAGCTTGATATACATGATATACGTGAATCAGCCACTTTTCACTGGCTGGTTCAGGTGGTCATGCTCAGCTGCACTTTGAGCTCAAGGCTTCACCACTCCGGTCCTAAGTCAACTTTCCATGTAGCAAATAAACCGAGGTCACTGCATCCTCAGCCTGGTTAATCCGCAATCCAGACAAGCTGTGCACAGAAAACAGCGCTGATTTCAGCACAGAGCTTGCAGACAAATCACTACAAACTCAGCGTTCATTTTAGGATCTTCAAGGAATTATCAACATTTTAATGACTACTCATGATCACCAATTTTTCTTTAGGAAAGAATAAAGAAGACACAGAGCAAAAGATAGAAGAAAAAAGCAAAGCAACACTACTTTGGCAGGAACAGAAGCCGCATATCCAGTATAATTTGACACAAGTTAAGAAGTAAACCGAGAAAAGTATATTTAAACCAACTTTGGATTGTCCCCTTTTCAGTCTTCTCAAGAGACTTAACAGTTATTGGCATTATCATAGGGACTAAATGAGGGAAAGAAATTGGAAACGAGTTTGAAACAGCTACAGCTTAGGTAAGCTAAAAAAAAAAGAAAAGCAAGAAAAAACTGTAGTTAACAGCAGAGTAAGTCACTAGAAAGACAGTGACAGTAGCTGCTTATTAAGGTTAGCCGTATTTTCTCTTATTCCTTAGCTACATATGGGGCTGTGATCTTAGGAAGGTGGTAAGTTACGTATGCTAGAACTAATGAAGCAGATTTTGTTCGTTTTGTCCTCTTGACCAACTGAGCCAGTGGATCTGTTGGAAAGAGTAGCCTGGGAAAGGGCAGAGCTGGTCACCTCCCAATGTGCTACCCTGTAAAACAGAAAAGAAGACGGGAGAAATAAGCAGTATTTTGATTGCTGGCAACAAACCTATGTAAAAGTCTTGAACTAAGAATTTGGCACCTCATTGCAAATTTCCCAAAAGCCTAGCTTAATGAACTAGGGTGGATTAGCTCACAATGGTCCTAAACATTTCACTCTGTTTAGTTTTTCTCTAGGTGGGAAATAAGTCTGCAGCACTTTTGTTAAACACCATTACCTCGAGTTTAGGTTCAGATTGTTTTTCTAATGCTTGGTTGAAGCAGGAGACCTTCTCTCTGAACCATTTCTTCAGGGCAAAGAGCCATTATCCTACCACCAGGCAGAAACATTCTCTGTTGTCACTGCACTGCTAACAGCCTTTCTTATATATATTGAAAAGCAGCCTTTTAAAAAGACCAAGTAAACTTGCTTGATGGCCAATATTACATAAAGTTTTGCTTTTAATGGTTTTTCAGCTGTTTTGCATCTGTTACCAGAGAATGTTTTATTGCAAAAGCAGTGACACCCTCCGCTGCTTGAGAGAGTTGAAGTCGAGCTGTATTTGCAAAATCACTCTCTCCTGGCCCTTCTTCTCTTTATTTCCCTATGAAAGATACCGATGGACATTTTTTTACAACTTTAACATGAAAAAGCAGCAGCCGTTATCTCTATGGAAATCTAGATATGTTATCCAGATAGTAACATTAAAAACATGCCAATATTTCTTACAATGTTTATTGTACTGTTATCTCAAACATCAGTGGAATTATTAGATATCTACAAATTTTATTGCTAGTCTACTCCGAGACATTCACAGCAGTTATTTTAACTCTTTACAGAAATCACGTATTTTTCATTCAACTGAATTTTTCATGAATGAATCCTTTGGAACAACCCTTTTTTGTACCCCTCATTGAGACAGTTTGCTGAAGAGTATTTCTTAACATTAAAGCAAAATGTTAATGACCTCCCTCTGCAAATTAAATTGTGGACTTCAACCACGGGCTTAAAAATTGTGCAAAAGTATAAAATTAACTTTTCACTTGTGGAAAAAAAGTCCTTGGATGGTTAGTCATTTCTGACTGGCCGACAATGCAAATATCAGATGTTCAGGATGAACTTTCTTTTCCCCTGTGAATGCAAAAGACTCAGTTCTATCAGATCCAGGTACAGAAGCAGAAGTAGAAAGGGATACAGTTTTCCCCAACTTCATAGGAGCTTCTCTGCCACTTGGCAAAGTTTTCAGTAATATCCCAAGCAACAGGACAAATTCTGCTTGAACTGGCACTAAAATCAAGGAAATAACCTATAGAATTTTGCTCAGAAAGATTTGGCTAAATCTTTTGGCAAAAACAATTTAAAGCATTTGGAAATGCAGTGCTGGTGGCATAAAGAAGAGTGTGAAATGCCACGTGCTACCCACACACTCATCACTAGCACGAATAAATGCAGTATCCAGAGAAAAGACCAGACTCAAAGGAGGAACTTATTCCCATGGGTATTCCCATGAGGATTTCATGCCGTTGCGTTATTACTACAGCCTGTTTGCATACAAGAAGCAGGAAAAACACTGTGGAGAAATAGGATTAGTAGCAGAATACTAATGTGTAAATTGCTAGGAAGGCTTGTGAGATATATGTATGTATTTATAGACTGTATTTATATAGTTAGTAAGTTAATATCAAGCGAGGGAATGGAATTAGCACCATTTTTAGCCAGCTTTCATAAAGAAAGCATTCAACACGCTGCCATGTCTGAAAACTGCTGTCCTATATACCCCAAAACCTGAACACCTTTAAAACCTGATCAGTTTTAATGGGAATTTATAGCTGAATAGAGATCACAAAGCTGTACACAAGGTGGCTGAGTTCTGAGTACGGTCAGGGAAGCTCTACTCTACATGAAAGCAGAGAGGAAAAAGACTCTTACGTGCTTTTTATAGTTTCTAGTTATGCTTGAGTGAAGGAAATATATAGAATGTGCTTAGAAGAATCTATTAAAAAAAAAAAAAAAAAAGAGGATCTTTGAAATGGGGAGACTTGAGGGTTAACAGGAGTGAGCCAAGCCCTCCAAACAGCCTGTGGATCCCTGAGTGGTTCTCCGGTAGCTCTCCTGACTGCAGCAGCCCTATCCCTCCCTCTGGAATCACTGTCACTCACGCGCACCCCCGGCAGGGATGGGAGGCAGGTTGGGGAAGTGCCGTGGCTGGGATCCAACGCACAAACCTGTTTACTTTGATCAGGATCGCGTCCTCATCCTGCTCCACTGGCTGGTTGCACGGAGGGACGCAGGGGCTGGCAGGAGCAATAACAGGCAAGAGAGGCAGGGCTGGCCACCCTGTCAATACATGGTGAAACACGGTGCAAAGTTCAGTATATACATACTATAATGCAGACAAAATGCTAGGAAGAAGGGCTATGACAAGGGGAAGTGGGCGAGCAGTTGGCTGCGCTGTGATGAAAAACAGCTTAAAACAGAGAGGTTTGGTGAATACCAAACGTGGTAAACTTAAAACACGGTGAATATCGCTTACCATGAGTGATATTTTGCACCCGGATTAGTGTCTATGACCCCAGTGAACCTAAACATGAAGCCAGCTAACAGTCAGCATGAAGAGGACCACAGTTTGCCCCAGTGAGGTTGAAACTAAATTATTCCTATTTGTGTGTTAAAGGGAAGAATAAACAGCTGAACCTTGAAGAAATAGGGAACAAGAATTAGCTGCAAATTCTTCTAATAAAAAAAAATCCCTCATATAATGAAGTTTTTAATGATAAAGTACATTTTATTCTGTCCCCATAAAGCACTTGTGAAGCAAGCAAACCTGAAGACTGTGAAGTCCAGCTGCCCAGAAGCTGAGCTAGGCTCTGGTCTACACCATAGGCCAGATGCAGAGTCCAATCTCACTCCTCTTGTCACAACATTTGTATTAACCTCTCTATCAACAAAGGCTCAATTACCTATCACCAATCTCTTCAGTCATAAACCCTAATTATAACCTGTTGACATGGGTGAAGATTTTAGGTGACACCTGCTGCAGTCACCCGGAAAGGGTTTTGTGATGTATCTATCAACACACGAACACACGTTGAATTATGCACTTGCCACCTGCAGAACAGTTTCGTTCAGACACCTTTATCTAACATTAATGATGGCTTTGGAAATATCTGCATCAGGGTAAACCTGATCCTCAACACCCAAAGACAGATGTGTGAAGAAGTGTCTCGTTTTTTCAAAAGCAGCAAGTACCAGGTCCCACTGAAACCGATGGAAGTTGAGCACCTTGTAAACAAAAATATTGCTCCACGTTCAATTGCAAACATGTATTTATAGGGCATGAGAGCCTTTTATAGTAAATATTCTTTTATGTGGCCGGGCCATACGCACTGCCCTTATTTTTGCTAATTTTATTTACGCCTTCGCACTGGCTGTTTGCTGTAAAAGGCCACCAAGGGCAGCAGGAATTAGGCCTCCTTGTCTGGCACGCACAAGGTGACAAATATTTACCCTATTGGACAGTTGGCTCCACCCGGGGCTGAACAAACAAAAACAACCGCTCCGGGCATTGCAGGGAGTGACGCGGTACAAGGACAGAGATTCCCACGTCCAAACACAGGCAACCACCCACCCACAACACAGCCAGAACCTGCAGGGGTTTTTAATTGTGAAAAAAAATAGAGGCGAGTTCTCTTCTGCCCTATTTTTCCAACCGAGATTCCTACAGTGAACCTGGGAAGATTAAACGCATATTCAATTGAACAGATGACAACGCTGGCTGATAAAAGATCTGTAGTATCTGAGATAGGCCACAATTTTTTCCCTAGGTGTTGTGTATTCTCCAAGCGGGACATCATTCTTTACTCCTGATATCTGCTCCCACTTGCAGGAGGAGGGACATCAGATACTAGCGAGTTACACCTAGGAGATTAAAGCCTGTTTGCCCTGTGATCCTTCTGCAATCCCCATTTCTGAACGTCTGCAAGAGGTGAAGACACCAACTCCATCCCTGCAGATGTCCCAAGTGTGCGGTGCTGTGAGGCAACCCGCAAAGCATCCCACCAAGCAGCACAACCTGGGCCACCCAGCTCCTATCACCCATTGCTGCCCTCTGACTTCAGAGCTCGGGCTCATCCCACTTCATTCCACAGAAATTTGCAGAAAACAAGTATCTGACTTGTGTACTATTCTTAGTGGCACCTGGAAAACCAGTAAAATATCAGAACAGCCATATAAGGTCCAGTCCCCTGTTACAACGATACCAAGAGCCATACATCGGCATACAACTAACACAATATAGTATACCAGTTTATTACTGGTAAGTACCTCTGATTATTGCATCTCATTATTACACGCAAAGTGGGTCTTTGTATGAGTTTAAAATAAAAAAAGGCTTTTATTTTAAGTAACTTTTTCCAGTATATCTGACCTTCAGCAGTGACCCAGCTAATGCTCTGGGCAAAGTTGTGGGCTCCCCATTCGCTGCACTTTGCTTGGCAATTTGAAAACACCCCTGAGCAGCAGTTGTTGCTACCCACGTATGGTGAATTAAGAGAAGTGCTGCAATCACTGATGTGCCAATGTTGAGGGGTTTTTTTTTGCAGAAAAGCAGCAATGTTTATCTCACTGTGTATGGTGCAAAATGGGAGCCACTTTTTCCTACCACAACAAGATCTTCCTGACTGCACTGGGAGCTTTACACTGTACATTTTGGCAGTGCCCTGTTCAAAACCAAGATGTTTTTCTGCCTATGTGATGAGAGAAAAAATATTGAAGTGCATCTTTTGTACTCAAAAGAGAGATGAGCTCCATATATTTGCACTCTTGTGGATGAGGCACGTGCAGTACTCAGGCACCTCCTCTGCCTTCTTTCAAGAAGTCCTATAAGACAGTCTATAGTTGTCTTAAAAGTACTTTTTTTAAAAAAGCAGTATGGATAGGACCATTCCATATGAAAATCTCTAGATGGAAGCGACAGCCCTACAGCAATTGGCCATAATGCTCCCAAGTTTAAGGGACGTAAGGACGTAAAGATACAGGCAGAATCGGGATATGGAGCCTCCTCTTGGCAGGCACAGCTCTGCTATTTACAGCAACTGCTCCAGAGAGACAAGGGAGAGGGGCAGAGCAAGGAAGAGCTCATCTAATGTAGCTAGTTAATGAGACCCTGAGGCTGCAGCGAGCTTCCCTGGGCTGCTCCAGACCTTTTCCTGGCATACAGAGAGCCCCTGGGAAAGAGAGGATGCTCTAAGGTCCCTTCTTCTCCTGTGAATCTACTCCTCTTCAGCTGAGGAGTTCCTGGCACAGGAGACATCACTACATGTTTCCTCGGCCGTGGCAAGATGAAATCTAAAGCCCCACAAGTGCTGGGGGATTTTTCCTCTGTGGTAGCCTCATGACTGCCCCTACAAACCAGCTTAGGAACTCCTGAAGCATAGAGAAGTGAGAAGGTCACTGTCAGGAGGGGACAGAAAGTGCTGGAATTGTGCACACAGTTTACCTGTAACCCTCTGCAGGAATTTTCTTTGACTCTACAGGAGAATGACTGGGTCCCAAGTCACAAAACGAATGACAAACCTACAAGCTCCCAAGCAACAGCTGATGTGTTTGGACATACATCCCAGAGGAGCCCATTATTACACGAGGATCAGTGATAGAAATGTTTTCTTCTCCATATAAATAATGGTTTTCAAGGAAAAAAAGTAGTATATAAAATACAATGTTCCTTCTGTTTTAACTATTGTGCATCTGTAATTTATTTCACCCGTGCTTCAGACTCTCATGGCTTAGACTACTACTATAAAAAGTGGCTGTGCCTTCTGACTGATTACTCATTTATAGCTGGGAACATTAGTTTCAAAAAAACCCACCCTTAGACTTCTCTGCTTTTACGGAAACACTGCTTCTAATGATTTTTTTTTAAGGATCTAGGAGGAGGTAGCATATATGAACGTATAAATGTAAGTACAGTAACACAATTACAACAATTTTTAACAACATCTGGATAGAACTGTTTGCATCACTGAGTTACACTGCTCATACCGCCTCATAAAACCACTGAGGTCATCAAAAACCTGTTTTTTTCAACAATAATATAACCAGCAAATAGTAATTTTTCATGATGCAGGTTAGTCCTAATCAACAGCTTGAATATCAAGTACAAACGCAGTGAGCTCACCGCTTAAATAAATAAATATTGAGATCGTGATGGATAAAGCTGAGTCCCAGCCATGGCCACTGCCCTTGTGTCGGGACAGAGGTTCAGTGACACTGAGTCAGTGCCCACAGCTGGACGTGGGAGGGCGAGTAGCTAATTACATGATAGTTAATTACCATGTAATCACAGCCAACCACGCTAAAGATAGCTGGCAAAGATGAAATTTAGTCTGGCAAAGTGTTAGCAGTATCAAAAGGTGTCCAGGGCTATTGTAGCTAAGTTGGCAACAGGTATCAAACAATGTATGTCACTAAATCCCTTTATGGGGAAGCGGGAGATTAAGGTTGAGCTTGTGAGCCCAGCACGGCTCCATTTCTATGTATCAATAGGAGAAAGTCTTAAGGTGAATAAAATTCCAGAAAGTCTCCAGTGAAGCAGAAGAAAAGCAGCTTTAGGGATAACACAGGTTGAGTTCAGCAGCAGCAAACTGATTATTTCTTGGATTCTCCATCACTGTCTTCTGAGATTGTATCAGCAATTAACTCTTTTTTTTTTTTTGATCCAATGTAAATGGGAGAAAAAATAAAATGTTTAAACATCCCACCTGCCTCTTAAGCTCCCTGCTTAAAAGATCCATGAAATAATCTGTGGTGACAACACCGTTGTCAGATTTCAAAACGTCACAGTTTAGTACAGAAAGCATGAAAGAATAGATGAATTAATTTATTTATGGAGCGCTGCTGAGACCTTACAGAAATCTGCTGTCTTTGCTACTGAATGAGACAAAAATAACTGTCATTAATCTTAGAAGGACACATGAGCACTTCTTCCCAGAAATAACTGTAAGGTGTAAAATTTCATGCATTAATCACAGCACACAGAGACCTACCCTTTTTTAGGTTTCTACAGGGAAATGCAAAGCATTCTGACTTTTAAAGCAATAAAACCATAAAGAGACATTTAACCTTTATTTTATGCATTATTATATATTAAAAAAAAATATGTTAGGGCCAATTTCTCAAGTAGTACAGATTCGTTTTGTTTCCAGTGGTTTTAGTGAAGCTACAGCAAGTTACTCCATCTCAGAAGTTGGTCTCTGCTGTCTGAAATAAGTCTGGAAGAAAACAGGGCACTGCCATGTGCCATTACAAATATGAAAAAAAAAGAAATATAATAAGTAATAAAAAGATGCTGCAAGAAAGAGGAAAGGAAACATACCCATAAGGAAAAGAAAATACATGATAAACGATGCTTAATAATTCGTTCTGGGGAAGGAAGGTAGCAGACACAGCACGAGGGAACGTGAACTCTGCCCAGACATGGAAAATAAGACTCAAGGAAAAATATTTCAATACAGAAATAAATCTTTTCAAATAAAGTAGAGATGTAACACAAGGAAGGATGAATTATATTTGTTTTCCAGAAGCAAACTCCCCCTCAAAAAAAACATTTCTTATGAAGATGGGTCATTTTATCTCAGATCTGCAGTCCTGTTGATAATATCTCAGAGTGATTCAATGTGAAGGAAAATTTCCCAGGGAATGAGTTCGAGCCCTTATTTAGAGTTGCCTAAAGTGCTGCTTAGCAGCCCGGGGACACAGATAAATTGCCCGTGTCAACTCAAGCCTTGTACACAGTTGCCATGAAGAGAAGCCCTACGTCCACGTGTGATTTCCTGGAAGAAATCAAATGTGTCTGCAGAGGAGCTCATAAAATGCTGACAATATATTAAGACTGTTTCCCCTGCATACTGTTCTCCCTGTTAACTTGAACAGAGTCTACTGGGTCAGAACAAGAAAAGGAGGGAAAGGAGTGGTTTAATGTAAAGTGATGAATGGTTTAATGGGAAGTGCAAGGCTGCGTTGCGACGCGAGCAGCTCACGGGACCTAGAAATGAAACTATCTGCGTAGACATAAGGATGCCTGGTGAAGCAGGAAGGAGGAAAACGCTCCCAAGCCGAAAACCAGCAACTCTATTAACTGGCACTGCAGCATTTTATTGTCCTGATACAGAGGCAGAATTTGGGTTGTTCCGTGATGCTGTGACAAAGCCAAACCAGCAGTGTTTACTCAGAGGAGAGCTCTTCGGCCAACTCCTTGGCCAACGTTATGATCGGTCTATAGAAAAAATAAAGAAAAAATGGGGGAGATTTTTGCAAAGACAGGCTGGAAGCTTCTGGTAATGATATTTTTATGTTAAGGGAGACGGGAAAAAAAATAAAATTAAGCTGCACTTTAAAAACAAACTGAATATGCACTTAATATACCTAAAATTCAAATTATCAGGAATTTCTGAGCTAAAGACATGACCAGACCAATATAGCACTGACACACTGACCAGCACAATGCCTTAAAATCTGACAGAAGACTGCAGTTTTAGCAAATCAAACTAAAACCAGAAGCTTGCAGAAGACAAGCAGGGATAACCTAATCCTAGATGAACTTCACTCTTCATATAGATAATATAGAGAGGGCCCAACTCTTTCCTTACATGTTATTGACTTTTATTACATCAATGCAGCAATGAAATCCAGCTTGGATCATCATGCTACCCCTCATGGTTGAAGGCCAGCAGGTGAATGAAGATGCTTAAATCCTTGGTGTTTTCTTGGGAAACCAATGGGTCTTACATTCACTGTACACTAGCGTTTCTCCTATAGTGGCAAAAAAACCCAATTCAGTTCTTCTTACTGCAACAAAACACTTTTCTGAGGTCTCCTGGAGAACCAGGATCTTCAAAACAAAGCCTAGCATCTGGGTGCCGCTAACTAGACAACTTTTGAGGCTATACTTTATTGCACAAGCACTGTCACCTCCACCCCTCAAAGTTTCCAGACGCTCCTAGGGCTCCGAGGGGCATCCCAGTGCATTTCAGCACCATGCTGAGACCAGGCACACGGTGACCCAGATTTCAGCAGTGACGCAAACCGCGGGGGTCACCAGTGTGCGGGGCCATGAGTCAGCAGCTCAGGCCCTTTCACAGGGGCTGGATTTGGCACTGGCCTCTTCCCAGGCTCAGGAGCAGCGCTGACCGCCTACCCTCCAGTACCAGCCTGGGCGGCCACCACTTTAGCTCCTGCTTCGAGCAGATGGCACCACCCCAAGAGACACTCTAGGGGGACATTCCTGAGGGCGACCTAGCCGGGAAAGGCCAGGGAAGCCCACACTCTCCTCAGGGCGCCCCCGTTACAAACGGCCGTTGGCGACGGC